TTAATAAGTTTGTATGTAATGTAATTCAGTCATCTACACTGTGCTGAGTCTGTAATTGGCCTTGCGGCTGTTGACTCGGCACATTAATAATAAAGAATTGAATTGAATTGAATTGAATTGAATTATCTATTGCTGAACCTTCGGGTTCCATAAAATGCTGGGAAATTCTTGAGTAGCTGCAGAATTGGCGGCTCCTCAAGAAGGGCTCAGCTCCATGAGTAGGTAGTTAGGTAGGTAGGTAGTTATTTAGTTATTGGAGAGGGTGGGTTTCCCCATGCACCAAGACCATTTAGTTATTGGAGAGGATGGGTTTCCCCATGCACCGCGACCAGTTTTGATCTATTGTGCTTCCCTCTATGATATTCTACCAGTCTCTACGGGACCCATGGCTTAAAGTCCCTCCCGGAGGACTTGTTCCCTGAATTTTTCTGCCCTTAAAAATTCCATGACCTCCGCCTGGTTTGAACCCGCGTACCACGAGTCATGAGGCGGGAACGTTACCTCTAGACTACAGAAGCTCCATGAGTAAGTAATAAAGTAAGCAGTAATATATACATTACATATGTATTAAAAGCATACATATCCATGGATACTGACCCTACTCACATCGGCCCTGAAGGTTAAGGAAGATATACCTCCGAAACACAGATAACATTGCTGACATCCACACCGTAGAAATACCAGAAAGCTGAATCATCAACAGTGAACCTCTGTGAAAGCCAAAAATCAAGTATTCTGTCAGGTCCATGTCCATGTTTCGGAAGCATTGTGGCTTTGCTGTCTTACCAATCACCAAGGTTTTCTCCATTTCACCTGACATAAAACCACAGAAAAACAGTCAATCTTTCTTTGCACAGTTTTCCTCTCAAACATTTTTCACCTTTCAGACATGGCGGTTTATTCGGAAGCGCGCAGAAGAACAGTCCAGTCTCATCACCGTTCGCTATGTTTTCAGATTCATATCCCTCCATTATGGATGGCAATTTAGCTTCCCATTCCTCAATGGTCTCACTATTTACATCACTTGATTCACCACAAAGTTCGTTAAAACTATTCGATGTCTTTTGCGAAAACTCTCCAACCATTCGTTAGATGCTTTGAATTCAGTTTTCCCCAGTTTTTCAGCGACTTTTTTTTTTAGTATATTCTTGTACCATTGGACCTGACAACCGGTGATTTTTCGCCCTTACACTGACAAATCACTCCCACACTATTTCATTAACGTCTTTGTTTGCAGTTTTCTTAAGTTCTCTTTTTACGTTTTTTTCCATTAGCACGAGTTTCCCACCGCTTCAAAATTTCCGTTTTCTTCTTTAGAATCTCATACGTTTGGGTTTTACCGACGTTAAACATTTTCATGATATGCTTAACAGACAATTTATCTCGCTCACTCGCATGAATCACTTTTAATCTTGTGTTAAGATCAAGCACAACTCTTGTCTTTGTAGCCATGATGACAACTGCTAGACTAAAGTAAAACTGTAGGCCTAGAGCCCTTACTGAATACAATTTCCAGAAGGGGAAAACAATTCTGCTGAATCTCAGTGCAGGTAGTGCAGTACCATTATAAGTTTATTTTAAAGAGTTAGGGAAAACAAAATTCTGTAGAATGTATAGGATGCCTAAAATTATTCTAAATGATGCATTCTGGAAGACTGGAAATTTTCCGTATAAAGGCTTATTTTGATTTCCGTTGTCCGCGTTAGACAATTTTCATTTAATCCAGGTTATTTAACATCTTTTTCAGCCCCAAAGTCAAGGGACCTGAAAATAATTCCATTTAATAAAGGGTCCATTTAAGGCAGGTTTTACTGTAGCAGCATGTCATAAATTAGTCTATCAGAACATGAATCTTCTGGATTCAGGGACTCTTTTCCAGATTTGTGAACTAGAACATTCCAGATTGGAGTTGAACACTGAAAGAATAATGAAGAAAGTCGTCTTCTGGGTTTAGGCACCGTGTATTCTTCGTTTTGGCCGACGTTTCGGAGGAACGTAGCGCCTCCGAAACGTCGGCCAAAACGGAGAATACACGGTGCCTAAACCCAGAAGACGACTTTCTTCATTGTCATCGCCGTGAAAACCTCAAAACTTACACTGAAAGAATATGTTTATGTATATTCTGTAAGGAAGCTAAAACAAACAGTTCACAAGACATGACAATTTATAATTTTCAATTTTTCTGTCTTTCCCCAGCTTATATTTTTTATATTTTCATATCTCTGTATGCCCAGATGTAAAATATTTTTGTGTGTCTACTGTTGGATTCATTATGAACAGAAGAATATTTCACAATGGTACATACATATAGTTTTCCCCACTCTTTTTGACATCTTCAAGAACTTATGTTTCACAAAACTACAGTTAATCAGAAATTTAGATAAATCACATCCACATAATCAGACTCTTGCTTTACAGTGCAGTTAATAGTAGTTTTATCTGTATGTCATAAAATTCAAAGAAAAACACAACTGTTAAGAAAATATTTTATTAAACCAAATGGGTATGATGAGGGGATGGGGGATACTACATAATGACATTATGTGATCTATACAAATCACCTAGTGTTGTTCCACTAGTGAAATATAAGTTGTTAAGCTGTATACACAGATCATATGGAGGTGGTGTGAAACATACAAAAACTTTGATAGATTCAGCCACTTTGAAAGCTGAGGAGGTGGGTGCAACAGGCTTAAGATCATGCCTAATGTTGGAATGTAGTGTTAGCAGTGTTAAATCTCTATGTACTCCTACCAGAAAAGTAGGTTCAACCCATCATTATTAATAGCAGCGAGAGCAACGTCATTTGAGTTCTTCCTAAAACTTGTTCCTATGGCACCCACTCTCACTTCTTGCAGCACCACGTAAATGGGGTTCTGTATGGGTGTACACAAAAGTAGTTGGACATTGCTATGTTGATACATCGGAGACAAGTCTTCAAACCCTCTCATTCCTTACACTGTATAGAAAACCACACCAACTGTCTGTCAGTGAAATCTGAAGGTTTGACACCACTAATAGTGGAGCCCAATGTTAAAAATGATCCAAAGCTAATACCATTTTCCAGATCCACAGCCTATTTCCTGAAGATTTATTTAATGTTATCCTTGTATCTCATCAAACTGCTGCTTTCCAAACGGTTTCACAACCAAAATTACATATGCATTTCTTGTGGCCCTTGTCTGAGCTGTGTTCTGTTTGAGTTCACTTGTCTAAAAATACTATTGCTTGTTTACTTGATATTAGATAAAAATATGTTCATAAGAATAAAGAAAAATAGATTAAAAATACAATCAAAATATAATTTATTACCAACAGACATTTACAAAGCAGTGGACATAGACAATTACAGTGACACACTTATAACAGTATTATAACCATGTCAATATATAATCTAGGTAAATATGTGTGTATACTTGTTTTTTTATGTTAAAACAGCACATTTCTTAACAGTATTTTTAAGGGGCATTCTTTGTAACCACATGTTTTCTGTTTTTCTCTAAGGTTTTCATGGGAACAAGTATTTATGCATGGAATGTGACATCGTGCCAGTTCATTATGTCACTTCTCACTAATGGAATTCAGTTCATGCTGATCGCTATAAATCCCATTCATTGGCCATCAATTTATAGGTGATCATCTTTTCCTGAATAAAAGAAGTGTCACCTTATAATGACAAGTGAATGAAAACAGTGGAACCAGCATTTCATGTCCCACAATTTAAGATTTTCCTTCATTTAATGTCAAATTCACTGCTGCCCAAAATCGTTAAATGCAGGTTTCAATAGGATGAATGTTTACCAGTAGCCCAGAGCACTCACATGGTTACAGAATGGGCAGTGTTGCTCACCATGGCATGGGCTGATGTGGATGGTTAACCCTTTAAAGACCAGTTACTATATATGCCATTTTCTCTAACATACTAAAACTTTGCATTCTACCCAACAGAGTGTATTTGTGTTTCATAGGATTGCTGCAATAAACAGCAATATTTTCCCTAAACTGCATTAACTGGTTGGGCTTTGCAGCAGAGATGCAGTCTGTTTCCTGTCAGGTATGAACCAAATTCTTGTATATTATTTAGAAAAAAAGATAGAGTCTTAAAGGATTAAATTAGATAAGTTTTGTCAAAATTATACTGCATTAAATTGTGACTGTAAAAAATCAGTCTCTGTATTAACACTGGAAAACCAATACACTGCATGAATCCATAAAAATACAACTCATACTAAACATGTTTCTAATACACTATGTATCTTCAATGAAACTTAGATATCCTTCACGGAGCTATAAATACAACTTTCTAACCCAAAGCACAAATGATTTCCATTATCTTAAATGCAGCATATGAAATCATTTTGTCTTTCTGCATAAAGTTGCCAAAAAACTGATGTGTTAATCCTAAAATAACCTCAGGAATAAATTCCTACTGCTGTCACAGTTTGCAGTGATCATATTCTGCTTTTGGATTAACATTGCCTTTTTCTTCCTTTTTTTTTTGTCCTAATTAATATATTTATAGCTTAATAATACTGCCATATTTCCCATTTATGAGCTATGATATTTATAGTTTTTTGTATACAGGGTGTTTCACGACTTTAGGGCATAATGGAACATTCATTCTCTTCTNCATATTGTTCTTTTAGAAGGGGGTTTGTGTTATATTCTGGTAAACACTAATCTGAAAAGAAGTATTTGGGCATTCATAGGACAGTTTTCATCCTATTAGACTAAATTTGCTTTTGTTGTTGAATTTCAGTTACAGTTATAAAACACCAAACTTCATCAGTATCTGTTCATCCAGAGTAGAACAGCTACATAATTTAACCATCAACTTTTCTGTAATTGAAGCAACTCATGAGCTCTTTGAGTAATACCTAGTAGACTGTTTCAATACACTGGTTCTGTTCTGATTTCCATCTGTGACAGTAACATATGGAACTTGTTTGAAAACTTCATCATGATGTTTCTCATATTCAGGCCATATACACTGATTTTAGTAGCCTGGTACATCTGGAGGATCATATGTTCCGACACCTCGTCTTGTCCAGCATTGCTCTCTGGTGAGAGTTAAGAAGTACTTGCAGTGGCATAAGTCAGCTATTTTCTTGTCAGTGAAAATGAGCAACCCTTTGATAATGAGAATACGAACACCTGATATCTGCTTGTCACCACAGCCATCTGCCATCTTTGTTTCTGATGATGTGTTGTCAGTGTCTTTCACGTGTTGCCATTGATTGAGTTCCGTCTGGTTTGAAATGTACCGGATCTTGTGGTATTACTCTGTGGCATCCAATATTGATATTAAGAACTGTTACAATTTTATCACTTTCCACATAGAGAGGTGACCCTGCCATCCTGTTAACAGCCTCCACTAAGCTACTGAGAGGTAAAACAGTTTCAGCACTGTCAGAGAAAAGACAGTTTTCAGTTACAACATGCATTTTTTTTACATATCCAGGCTCGTCATAATTTCCCAATTAAAATGGTTCAAGGCTGGGCTCAGTATGTCGCTGGCTATCTACAGGCAGAAAGAAGTCATCCTGACATACCAAAAATGAACCAGGTAGTTGTTTGTGCAGAGACTATACTAATGTTGATTTGCCACTGCATGTAGCACCCGACACCTCCACTATAAGCCACATATTTATTTTGAATATATTTCTAACTCACAGCTTCCTCATATGTATATTCAAAACAGCTCTGAATTGTTCAGTAAACCTCTCCTATTCTACTTTCCATTTTCAAATATACATTCTGTTAGCCTGGTAGAAATATTTAAATGCTAAAGGAATGTACTTCAAACAATGAGCATAATGAATACAAAAAAAAATATATGAAATTATTGATAATTCAGTCACAGGTGAATGTTACATATAGACAAAATCACAGATGTTGCGTTCATTAAACTTTATAACAGAGTTCTTAACATGTCCATTTTCTCTTAGAGTGTGAAGAAAACTATTATATTGGATTTTATAAACTATTTCTCATATAATCTTAAACTGTTGCATATTCTTTGTTGTGTCTGTTCAGAGAAGATTACAGTTTCATTCATGAGGATCTGCTGCACACTGGATATGGTACACTGTGAACACAACCAAGGTAATGTAGCCGTACCACTGACACCACCAGCTTTATTTGTAATCAGTATTTCTTTTAGAGTAATTAAGCATGGGATGTAGTAAGGAACATTCAAGGGTGACTTAGCCCGATTCTAGGTTTCAAGAATAAGGCCTGCTTCACTGCTACAAAGACCAGGCAGGAAGCACCCCACAGAGTTTTCCTGGAAATTCAGTTTGAAAGTTGACCGGCGGGATCCTTTGGTAAAGTTACACCTGACAGGTTTTGAACCCCGTAAGTCAAAAGTGGGAAGGCCAGCAACCCATGCTACTGGTATAATTTTTCAAGCAGCTGTCAAAAACGACATTAGGACTTTAAGGTCCAAAGCCCCAAACTAAAGCAAGGTGATTGGAGCAGTGAGAATTATGGTTAACTCCCTAAATTCGAATTGTTCCAATCGGCCAAAATTAGGGTAGTAACTTGGAGGCGGAGCTGAAGGTGTGAAGATTTCCTGCTTCAAAGCAGAGTCAATCTGCTAAGAGGAGTCTTGAACAACTCTCCAAGTGTCCAGTCGAAAAGTGTGAATCTTACTTTGTCTTAAAAGTTTCAGTGAAAGTGAAATTGCCTCTATGTGTTGTGCTAAAAGAAGCAGTCGCTAAATAACTAGCCAGAGATCAGGTCGCCAACGTTTGAGCGATTTCAAGGTGTTTTAAAGGATTAGGGAGAAGTGTTGTTACATGTATATCAAGATCTGCTCATTAAACAGTGTGTGTTAGTGCCTAGCCATAAACACACTTGCCTTTCCCGCTGACGCGAGGCCCGTATGCACCGAGACAGAATATCGTCGCTCTAGTGCAAATCCAGTACCCATCCCCCCCCCTTTTCCTGAATTGTAAGCGTTTATAGTAAGCTTACTGGCGCCCAGCATTCAGATAACCCATATCCCATAAACCATTATCCACAACAACAACAACAAAAAGGGAAGCAGAACTGGATAAGAAGGACACAGCAGCAACGTGCGAACTCGGAGTACCAACAGGTGAGAGGGAGCGGCTAGAGGAGCAGCTGCAACCAGCAACCAAGGGGCCAAAAGGACGGTAAAAGAGAGAAAGTGACACAAATGTAAGGACTGGACGGTTACAGTACCAGCAAAAGCCAGGCCTGTGGAGGCAGGAACTAACAGTGCATAATGAACCGGTGGGAATACTCGATTGATGGCATGGTCAGGATCAGAAAACAGTAGCATAATAACCCATGCTGTATAGTAGCAAAAGGAAAGACAGCTTATTATAAGAAGTATATTACCTAATGCAGCATCACTCATTTGTGTCCCTTTTTTTTTAACTTCAGGTAATATTTACATGAACATATTTTCCCTTATCAGTTACCTCAAGATTTGTAATAAATTTCCATTCATTTGGCAAGTTTTCTAGATGACAGAAAAAAGCACTTACCTCAAGATTTGTAATAAATTTCAGTTCATTTGGCAAGTTTTCAAGATGACAGAAAAAAAGCGCTTTAATTCCAAAATTTTCTTTGCTAAGAGCATTCCCCTTTAATCAGTCACATCACTTGAAACAAAATCAGGACCCTTCATAAAAAGAAGTCTTTAAGCAGATGTGTTACCAAAGCACATTTATTTTCATTTATAATCTTCAGAACCATTGAGAGTTCTTCACAGTTTCTAAGCAGTGAAATCAGTAGGAAACCTTGACCTTGTATGTTATGTAGACCTTATCTGTTGCATAATTAATAACATAATTCCTATGTACATATTCACTTAGCAACAGTATGGAATTGTGTAATTTATTTGAAAACTGCCTGCTGAGTAATTTTCCTGTTACAGAATACCGAAAACAATTCCACAAAGTTTAATTGATAACCACAACTCCCAACATCAGTTCACAAAATATTCCTCTTCGAATTTCTTAAAATCTTCTTCAGTAAATGCTGTAGATTATTATTCTTTTGGTTCAGAAGGGGGATTTTCTTTTCTGCTCTTTACAGCCCTTTCAAAAATCTGAAAAGCATAAGATAGTGATGGCATTACTCACAGTTACACAAAATAAGGACTGCAATATGTCCAAGTCACATTGCGACTGATGGTCTGTCAGTCTGTCTGTCTTTGTGTTGAGCCCCATTTTTTTTTTCTTATATATGAAAGTTACTGTCCTGTTCATTTCGGTTGCCCTCTCTGACAGTGTTTTATCCATTAGAGGGTACTTGAGACCTTAGATGTTTTAATGTATGTATGTTGTAAGACACGAGAACATGACTGTTACTACCACAGACATCATCTTATTAATCACTTATGAAATTAACTTAATATGTGGTTAAAATATGAAGGAAATTTTTGTTAAAAAACACTAGATTTTTTATTACAATTCTAAACAAATTTCTGATCCCACTGCTCTAATATTTTGATGTACTAGGAGCTGTAAATTGATTTACAATTCTAGGGTTAGGAGCCATTACAGTATGACCCATACAAATTGTTACATTTCATACATAATATAGAAAGGTAGTGTATGCAAACGTAATTATCTCTGCTGGTATAACCCAAAAATTCAACATTGATCATATCAAAGTCCACGGCTGGATTCAAGCACAAGCCAGTCATGTCCACCTCCCAATGTGCTTTCCTTATTCTGTCTTAATATTATTCAGCCTGTCTCCTTTGTCTCAAAAGTGGCCATTTTTTAAAACATTTCCTCATCAAAATACTGCATGTAGTTCTTGTCTCCCCACCAGCTCACTATGGTGTCCTAGAAAAGTAAAGCTCTGTTTTTGATGAGAATTCAAGTTTTTCATTCCCTAACATATTGTAACGTGCATGTCCATACCGTCACTTCCTAGGCAACGATCCACGTTCCCGCTACAACGCAATATGTTAGTTCTAACAATGAGTCTCCACAGCAATGAATAGGTGGAAATTGTGGAGTTCCCCTCAGCGACAATCATAGGAACGGGAAATACTGCACTTCCTAAGCAACAGATTGCTGAACCAGCAGGAATAATGCACTTCCATGGTAATGAGTCAGTCTTGAGAAAGACGCCGTCAAAGACAATTTAGTATTCACTGAGATATAGTGGAAGCAGTAATTGTGATACTGCAAGTGATAATAATTGTAAAGTGTGTGAGTACAGAAGTGAAGCACAATAAATATTCGCTACATGCTTGAGGGCATGAGGTTATTTGTTGTGTGATATACCCAACGCATAACAATATATTTTGTATTTTTATTTATTTACCCATTCAAGATCTGATTTATGCAGGTCTTACAGGCTTGTAACTACTGATCAAGAGGTTATATGTCTGAAATAGTAATTGATAATGTTACTTTATTTGTATACCTATCAGCATGTTCAGTCCATGTAGCTGATTTAACAATCTTTGAACTACAAAATTCTCTTCAGAAGGTTCTTCCATCAGTGGTCATGTCAACATAGCACTTTGCTAAGTAAAAATAATTGGCCATCACTGTTTTAGTCAGTCGTGTGTTCAAACCTCTGTCTGCATTTTGTCAGTAACCCGTTTAAATCTAACTTTGGAAGTCTCTGCACAGGATTCCTAATGTTTGCCATGATATGAAATATATACATATCTTAGCTGCAAGGATTATTGTTGTATAATAAATAATTAAGATAATTTTACTTGTAAAATTACATCTGTAAAAATCAAGAAATACCAAGAAAAATTAATAAAATACTAACTTTGTTAGCTGCTTTAGCATCCAAGCAACTTCTGTCTCCCAGTCTCTCTACAAAATGTACATTCCCTTCAGTGCAGTCTTCATGCACAGGTAGTCTCATGAGTAGCTCTTCTACAGACAGCTGCACTCCACCACTGGTTGCAACTGCACAGTACATAATTTGCAGTGCTGTGTGGCTCATAATTAGATGAGGATTCATATGAAAATACAGCACACACCCACTTATTCATGCTTGGATTATTCAATTTGATGTTTATCCACGTGCCTTTTTAGGGGCATTATCAACCCTGCAGAGCACCTGTAAAATTTACTTAATCCATCTGTCTGTACAAATAAAACAGCTTGTGAACCAGTCGATGGATATTCTTGAAATTTTAAATTGGAGAATTTTTAAGACATACATGCATTTCTGTGCACAGCTCACGTATAACTAGTTAAATATCTATTGGAGCAAAAAATGTTTTGAGTAAAAGTTGTTGAAAAAATGGAACTTTTCCTTTAAGCTGTATGGTTTTCAAGGCAATGAAACAAATTGGACACTACATACATTTCTGGATTTCCATAAAATGGCTTGGATTTTACATGTTTTCCTATTACCCATTCAACATTTCCCCTTGGGATTACTGAGGTTTTGGACTTTGTCCGGCAATCCTGTGTTACACACCATTGTCAGAACCCTTTGAAATCAATTTTTTCCCCTTCATTGTATGAATAATCAGAAGTATGCTGTACCATGTTTCCATTCATTTACAGATGCAATTTGGAGGAGAATTACCCTGTGATTATGCCAGGCTGCATAGATTTGTGATTGGAAATATTCTGTCTTTCTGAATGATGAATTCATATCAAACTAGAACATGTCTTTATGTTTGTGTTAGGGTTCAACTTCAACCATGAAGATGGCTGAGGACCAAGTTTAGCATTGCTTCAACCCTTTTCCTCTGAACATACCACTGTCACTTTCATTCAGTGCTAAACTTCACCTTTGCAGACTAACACAGCAGGTGCAAAATTTTTTACTACCTCCTCGTATATCGAAAGGACTTACAAAATGTTATCACCTACTTCCCGAAACTCTTGGTCAATAACACACAGATCAGCACCATCTTTTCTAACCCCATAACTGCTAAAATACTTTCTCAACACCTCCTTTTATAATTGCATGGTCAATAAAACATTTTTCATTGTCCCTTTTCCTGACCACTACTACTGATGGCATGAGAGAAAGTAGCCAGAAAAATATTACCAACATATTAACATAAATTGAGGAATTATAAAGATTGAAACAAAGGCATTCAATTGAAAGCCGTGGATTTCTTCTCAGAAAATGAAATTGCCCCAAGAAAGTGAGGAAATCTGTTCTTTTAAATAGAGAACTAAAAAGAGTTTTATTACATTGAGATTCTGAGTTCCTTCCGCAATTTTTTCTTTAACTTACTTTTCGTGTTTAGTTTCCTTTGCAGCACCGTGCAATTTCTTAGTATCATTTCCCTTTCTGGACTTCACATTTCTCCCCTATATATAAAAAGTACATACAGTTTCATGTCAACCTATATTCCTTCATGCTGTGTTGAAAGTGTGAAGTTCTGCTGCATTCTCAGTCATCAATTAATGTTTGCTGTGCAAAGTACATCGATATAGAATTATAATAACCCTTTCCACTCCAAAAGTCAGTGAAAAATTACTTCACTGTGAGAGAACAGAAGAATTATTTGTACTGTAAGAAAATTTCAAGCAGCACAGATTGGACTTGGACCAATAGATAGTATATGAACACAGACATGTTGACAGTGAAGTGGTACATGCTTCTGAAATAGGTATATGGTTAGAAGTGGTAAAAATTGGGAAACTAAATATAGCAGACTTACTGTCAATTCAGGAGAACTGACATCTGTCTCTTTACATTATTATCTTTGAATTATGTATGTTTCAATAATAAATTTGTTTGACATCACATCTGTGAGCAGTAAAAATTTATCAAGTATTTTCTTCAGAAATTACAATGAATGCCTGAATGGGAACATCTAAATGTACTTTAATGGCACTCAAGTGACATGTTGCAAAATGGAAAATTAAAGAATAAGTATGAATAACACGTTTCATGGAGGGCCAGAGGGAAATCACGAGAAACATGCTGGCTAGCTGGTTTCCCAATCAAGTTTTGAAATGAAATACAAAGGAAAACTGCCCACTACTACAATGAAATATTTGTTACTTTATCTATCAAATGACATTGCTCTGGCTGCTATTAATAATTATGGGTCAAAGGTGTCTGTCAAAAAGAGTGGGGAAAAGTAGGTGGTATGTACCCTCATGAAATATTCTTTTCATCATCATGAATCCAACAGTAGAGAGACAAATATATTTTACATCTGGGCATACAGAGATATGAAAATATAAAAAATTTAAGTTGGGGAAAGACAGAGAAATTGAAAATGTTAAAATGTCATGTCTTATAAACTGTTTTAGCTTCCTTACAGAATATACATAAACATATTCTTTCAGTGTTCAACTTTGATCTGAAATGTTCTAGTTCACAAATCTGGAAAACAGTCCCTGACTTCAGAAGGTTCATGTTCTGATAGACTAATTTATGACATACTGCTATATTCATTCCCATGTTTAGCATCCTGTTGTGTATGTCACTAATATATATAAATATGTCTGTTGATAAATCAGTTTAGTTTATGAAGATACTAAAGTATTCATTCTCAATAGCATAACCATCACAACATCAGAATCAACTGAGTCATATCTCAACAAAAAGAACCAGAAACAAACTCCATTATGCTAAAAACAGCATATAAAAACGTGACGCATGGCCATCAGAAACGTATCCCAGCATAACATCAATATCTACATAAAAGGACCAAGATTCGAAACATCCCTATTTCATCCATTATAACATCAGTGACCACTGATACCAAGAACATACACTCAGACAACACCCATGTCTCCCGTAAGAAAAAAAAAAGCATGAAACACATTATCATTCCCACATAAAAAAATTATACAAGACAATTTTTGTAAAAATTAAAAATAATAATTATACACAAGGTTTACTATTGTTCAGCAAATATTTTAGTATATTTGAACATCATAATCTTATGTAGAAACTTTGTATATGAAAAGACTTAGCAATGGATCCATTGTGTAACGCAGGTTAGTAATGAACATGGATGCATTTTATTGTTTATAAATGCCTGATGACACTCGTAAAGGACCGAAACATGTTGTGCTGAAATATTTTAATAAGCCAAACTGATCTATTGACAGTTTGAGTCTATGATTTATAAAGTTGGTGTGAACAGACATTTTTACATATTATGCTGCTATAAGTTTGTTACAATGTATCCACTTGAATCTATTCATTTATATTGTCTTTTGTCACACAAACTCAGCGAAAACACAAGTGTAATTCTTGGAACATTCTTTTCCCTTCTCAATTTGGTTTTCAGTAAATGCCATAATCTTCTCTTGATCATCTCTATCCAACTTCTCCTTGTCGACAAGAGCTTGCATTGCAACGGTTTCTGGGTCACGGTCTATATAATGTACATACCATCCTTTTTCAGACTCATCCATGACGCACTTTCCCTCCCTTTCAAGATATATAACAGTCTGTCAATGTTACCCACTGCGTAGAATTGATACGCAAATGATGACGCTCGCAGGTATAGTCCTGGTATACACGTTTTGTACCAAACTGACGTTTTAGTAGTCCCAGATAACTGTTTTCAAATTCTTTGGAGAAATTAATGTACTGCCATTATAAACATAATATATTAAATGAATTTAAGTTTGGTTTTAAAAAAACATTCTACTAATATATATGGATAAATACCGTCTTAAGTGCAACAAATTTTATTGTAGTTCCTTACAGGATGTAACAGGATGCTGAAATATAACATTCTACTAATGACGCTATTGCTAGTTATTGAGAATATGATAACTTGAATGATAAAATAAAATGCAACTGCATATCATTAGACTTATCAAAAGCATTTGATTGTATTCAAAGTAACATTCTTATGGATAAATTATATAAATATGATGATCGTGGTACTCCACATGTTAATTAAATCCTATCTAGCAAATAGAACACAACAGGTGAAAGTAGCACATAGAGAAATCAACCAAATGAAGGAACAATTATCGAGTAGCCTTCCAATTAAGTGTGGAGTCCCTCAAGGATTGGTCCTTGGTCCATTACTTTTTTTTATATACATAAATGACTTTCCTCACCTAACACAAGATAGATCTATAATAAATGCAGACAACACTACAATACTGAATATGAGACAAGATATAAATGAACTCCAATATATAACTTCAACTAATATTAGGGTTGTGGAGAAATACTCTGAGATGATGATTTATTCATAAATCCAACCAAAATGCACTGCATCTTTTTTTTCAGACAAAGCAATGTAGGCAGGACCATAATTATAAAATTTTAATCAAGAATATGGAAATAGAGAATGTTAAAAGTATAAATTTTTGAGGGTAGTAATTGACAGCACCTTGAGCTGGGATGTTTATATTGATAGAACCTGCAGTCGAATTAGCCGCAACTTATTTATAATATATAGACTTTCTAAAATCCTTGACCTAAAGGGTAGAATGTTATGGTTTGATCTATCCCTTTCTAACATAATGGAATTGTAGTATGGGGACACAGTGCTAAGGCACTTACTAAAAGCATTTTTATTCTTCAAAAAAAGAGCAGTATGGTACACTGCAGGGCTAAAACCTTTAGAATCGTGCAGAAATAGTTTTAAACAACTTAAGATTTTAACAGTATATTCATTGCACATACAACAAACCATCTTATATGTAACTAATAAGTGTAACTGCACGGTAAATAAACAAGTACACACACATGACAATGACTACCATAAATAGGTGCATAACTTAGAACTTTATAATAGTAAACCTTCAGTTGCTGGTTGTATCTTTTATAATAAATAACCTAATAATATAAAACAACTTGAAAATAAAAGCCAGTTTATAAGGGAACTGAAGAATTTACTCATTAATGAGTGCTATTACTCAGCTGAAGACTATATGAATGATAAATTCTTAAATACTGGATAAGGATACATGCTAAACGTAAACAGTCATTACATATTTTGTTAGATTATTGGTTAAGAATTTATTGTGCTTTTGCTAATTTATATCATGCGACATGTCTCACATCAATGTAATATGATCTATAGCAGCGATGGCCAACTGGCGGCCCGCGGCTTGATTTAGTCCGGCCCCCCTGCCAAGTCTCAGGTTTATTTTCAAAAATCTTAACTTCACAGCTGTATTGGCATAGAATTCAGTTTTTAATAGGACGTTTCATTAGCTTACAGCATTTTGCCATTGAGTGTATACGTTCTTACAGAGTTGGGCAGTTCAAACTGTTTTCTAATACCTGTGTTCATGTCATGGAAATCCCAAGTCCCCCAACCCTACTTCTGTAGGGAGATGACACTGAAGGGAAGACCATAGTGGTGAAGGATTTATGACACCTTCAAAATAGTAACCATTCCCAGCTTGCTCGCGGGGATGGGATGTTTACAGTTTCTCTTGGCATCCTGGCCTCTGTTAAGTGCAAGTTTTAGCAGAAATGTCTCCCAGTTGGTGCGATTTTAGAAAGTGAAGTGTGATTACAGAGTGTGAGTGTAGAACTGTTTTTCAAGTAAAATGTGTTTGAAGTTATTGTGATACAGCATGTCAAATAGTAAATTGAGAAAAGTTGTATGTGAAAATAGGGCGTTCAAATCTGAGTGGGAACATGACTATTTTTTTATATTAAATAAAGACCACAAGCCACAGTGTTTAGTATGTTTTCAAGTGCTAGCAGTTTTGAAGGAGTACAACCTAAAGAGGCATTACATGACAAATCATAAACAGAAGTTCGGAAAACACTCTTGTGAATCAAGGAAAGTAGTCTGCGATCAGTTAAAGAAAAAACTTTTCCAGCAGAAATCTCTTTTTACCAATGAAAACAACAAGAATAAGAAGCTTTGCTGGCCTCTTATTTCGTTACACATGAATTAATGAAAGCTAAAAAAGGGTTAAGTGATGGTGAATTAATTAAGAACTGTGCGAGAAAGATGGCAGTAGCTTTCAATGAAAATAAGGTAGGAAACAAATTTCAAACAGTGCCCCTTTCAAGACAGACTGTTGCTAGGAGGCTGAAAGATATTAGCAACCAGATATCTAATAATGTGAAAGACATTATTGCTAATTGTTCCTATTTCTCAATTGCTCTCGAAAGCATAGATGTTTCGGATACTAATCAATTGCTGATATTTGTTCGTGCAATTAAGGAAGATTTTACAATTTTTGAAGAGTTGTTAAAAGTGTGCTCTTTACACAGTACAACTAGAGGTGTTGATATTTTTAACGCTGTTAAGGGTGCAGTGGAGGAATTCGATAGTTTTGAAAAATTGTCCTCCGTAGTAACAGATGGCGCTAAATCAATGATAGGGACAATAAGCGGTTTTGTTGGATTTTTAAGACA